CCCAAAAATTCTCCGAAAATTCAACCCAATTTTAACCATTTTAACCAACTTCCAATCCAACCATTCAACCCATCACCAATAATCAAACACATGAATAACCAAACACATAAACACCCACCCACAAAATCAATAGAGGTACCGACTACACAAACACCCCAACAACAACCTCAACACCACCACCAACACCACCACCCTAGACAGCCCACCCAACCAAATAATCCATTAATCAAACATAAATTAAATCAGAATAATTAAATCATACATAAATAACCTTATCTACCTAACTCATATTCATTTATCAGTTTGTGTTTATCATCATATACATAAAATCATATCAAATCATAAATACAAATTTAATTAATACAATCACACACCAACACCACACCACTGGGACCAATCACCAAACCAAACACAACGCCAAAACCCCACCACACCAACCCAAAGTACCCCAGCATTACCAAACCAACACAAACCAACACACCAAAATTATCACAACTCATACACAATCATCAAATTAATTAAATACCAATAAATCCAAATAATAAATAAGTAATACATCATCTATCAACACTTTTACACCTGCCTTGTAATTTATTATCTATATACAGTCAACTCATAATCCAAATAATCCCATAATATCTAATTAATACCCATTATCACACAACCCCAAAACAAAACAATTTAACCTATACCAACCCCAACCACAAATAACCAGACAAACCAATACCACCACCACATTACAACAAACCCACTCACCCACAAACAACTCACACTAAATTAAAAATAAAGTAATTAATATCACATCTAACACACATCAAACTAAATTAACCAAGTTTAAATCCACAACATATTTTCTTATATTACACCAACCCCTATCGAACCATCACCCTCAAAAAACCCCGATTTTAGACAAAATTAACAACGGGGAACATGCATGAATTTCCAACCAAAAAGTTGAACACCCCTAAAATCCAAAAATTCTCCGAAAATCTGACCCAATTTTTGATAGATTCTACAACACCTCCCACCAAAATCCACAAAATCCAAACACCAACCCCACAATAAATAGAAACAAACAACCTACCACCAAAATCCACAACAGACTGAACCAACATACTAATTAATTAAATATCAAGAACAGATAAATACATAAATTATAACCAAATCACAATGAACTTATTTTATTCATAACACTTCTTGCCATAGTTTCTTCATATAATTAAAATCAATACATCAAAACCACCCTAATATTTATTTAATCAAACACTCTCATCACCACGAAAATCAAAATCCTTATATTACACCAACCCCTATCAAACCACCACCTCTCGAAAAACCCCGATTTTAGGCAAAATTAACAACGGGGAACATGCATGAATTTCCAGCCAAAAAGTTGAACGCCCCCTAAAATCACAAAATTCTCCGAAAATTTGACCCAATTTTTGAGATTTTCTGGATCAGTCCCTAACACAAACTCACCAAACAAGAACACATACCAGCTAATAACAACCTACACCATCACCACCAAATTATAACAACATCAGAATACAATCAAAATAACCAACAGTATACCCACACAAATCACCACCCAACAAACAAAACAAAATCACAAAGTATCACCATAAATCCAACAACATCCACCACACCCACACTCTAGACATCACCATTCAAGCATACCACAAACCACAACCCGAAATAGGTTAAAACAAACAATAATCACCATCCTCACACATACACCACCACCCAAACACACCAACAACCAAAATCCCACATCACCACTAACAAATATAAATTAAATAAATATAATAAATCAGAATATATATATAACACAAATAAATATCACCATTAACCCCACATGCATTTTTGTGTTCATCATTTATTATCCATTACAGCCAAATCATCTCAAACCATAAATTACAATCTATTAAATACACCAACCTAAACCAACACCTACCCATTATTACCATAACAACAAACCCCACAACACCAACCAGCCAACACCAACTCCACCCACCAAACAAAAACCCCAATTACATCCACCATAAAAGAAACACCTAAGCAACCCCACCATCAACCATACTATACAATTAAATAAACATTAATAAGCAAGAAATAATATTCAAACTATAAATTACCACAAATTAACCTTACTCCCTATCATGATTATTGTTTTATTCGAATTCAATCAATATACCAATCATTAAATTAAAATCTATTAAATAGTACTCAGACAACTACCCACAATATACCAAAATTCTTATATTACACCAACCCCTATCAAACCACCACCTCTCGAAAAACCTTGATTTTAGCCCAAATTAACAACGGGGAACATGCATGAATTTCCGGCCAAAAAGTTGAACGCCCCTAAAACCACAAAATTCTCCGAAAATCTGGACCTAAAATAACCAAAAATCTAAGCACCTACCACAATCTCATCCACTACACACCACAATCAGAGTAAACCCTACCAAACAATATAATAATCAAATAAACAATATATAAATCAAAATATATGAATAATTAATGATCTCGTTTCATCATACAGCACATGATATTTTGTGTTATTTATATCCATGAATTAACAAGACCATATAAAACCATTCATAATGTTTATCAATCCAACCATAGTCCTACAAACCCAGAATACAAATACTACACACCTATTAACAACCAACTCGAAAATCCACCAAACCTTTATATTACACCAACCCCTATCGAACCACCACCCCCTGAAAAACTCCCAAAAACCCCAAAATTAACAACGGGGAACATGCATGAATTTCCAGCCAAAAAGTTGAACGCCCCTAAAATTCCAAAAATTCTCCGAAAATTTAGACCCATTTTTACCAGGATTTCGAACATCAAATTCAAACAAAACATCGCAACTCAAACCACACACCACATCCAAACCAACCACAAACATCAACTCACCACATCCAAACCAACCCCAAACAACAATAACACCACATCACCGACCATCCAGATGAACATTAATACAAACCCACTCAACCCGAATACCAACCCAAACAATAAACACAACCAACAAACAACACACCTCGAAATAAACTACACCCTAACCAAACCAACACAACCCAATCAACTCACACAACCAAACAAAAGATAGTTATTAATTAAACATACAAATTAAGAGTGAATGAAAAACAATTAATGACAATCTTATAGATATTCTTTCTATTCATCTTTTGTTGTGTTTTATAATCACACTAATTAATCAATACAAATCAATCTTAATGTCTATATAAACCCTAGAACTCAACAACATCTACAATTTCCTTATATTACACCAACCCCTATCGAACCACCACCCCTCGAAAAACCCTGATTTTAACCCAAATTAACAACGGGGAACATGCATGAATTTCCAGCCAAAAAGTTGAACGCCCCTAAAATTCCAAATTTTTCTCGAAATTTTGACTCACTTTTTACGGATTTTTCTGACAACCCCAACCATCCACACCACCCCCAACCATCCACACCACCCCCAAACTCAACCAATTCCATCCACCAAACCCAACACCATCAACCAAATTTAACCGTAAGCACATTAAAAACACCACACACCACTACCCGACAAACTTCACTAACACAAGCCACCTCAAATACCAAAGTACAACCAAACTACACCCCACAACCCACTCAACATAGATCACCCATAAACAAACACAAACATTAATTAAATTATAATATAATCAAAATAAGTATGAATAAATAACTCGTACAACATTGATATTATCCCTGAATCCATGAATCATTAACCCTTTAATATCACGAAAATAAAATCAATCACAAATAATCATAACAATCTATTAAATAATATAACCATCACAAACAAACCCACAAACAAACCCACAAATAATCCCACCCAAGACAATCAACACCCAGACAAACCAAAACCGCAACTCATCCAATCGTAAGATATAATTATTACAATAAACTAAATTCAAATCAAATATACAATGATAATACAACTCTATCCATTTATTTCCCCCATTTTGTTTTGTGTTATCCGTTACCAAACCATAAGAATACAATAAGAATAATTCGTAGTTTAATATAATATTTTACCATTTAACATCCGCCAAGCTCAATTCCTTATATTACACTAACCCCTATCACACCACCACCTAAAAAATCCCCAAAAATCCCAAAATTAACAACGGGGAACATGCATGAATTTCCAGCCAAAAAAAAAATTGAACACCCCTAAATTCCCAAAATTCTCCAAAATTTCGGACCCATTTTCCCAACATTTTTCGACAAGACCAAGCAACTACCACATCCACCAATCTACAACACACCAACAAGTACAAAACAAAACATCAACACAACAAAATAACCACCCGACCAAGCCAACATAAAAATCATTACCACCACCAACACCATCAACACCACCAACACCACCAACACCACCAACAAACCAAGCCTATCACCAACAACAAAACCAAGCAAAACAATAACACCAAATATTATACAACAAAACATAACTAGTAATAAAAATAATAATCCATCAAACTCATTTATCACTTCATATTGCAGTTATTTATTATAATCATATCCACCAAATCATAATAGAATCAATCCAAAATCTATAAATAAATAAAATAAAACAAAACACGTAACGCATCACTACCACCCAACAACTCACAAGAATTAACCTACCCCAAACAAACAAAAATCCTTATATTACACCAACCCCTACCGAACCACCACCCCTGAAAAATCCCCAAAAACCCCAAAATTAACAACGGGGAACATGCATGAATTTCCAGCCAAAAAGTTGAACGCCCCTAAAATCCCCAAAATTCTCCGAAAATTTGGACCCAATTTCTGACCCAATTCTCAATAAAAAATCCAAACTACCATTACTACCCTATCAAATACACCAACCAAACGCAACCACAAAATCATCAACCCTAACACCACTAAAACCCAATCACTTCAACCAATACATCCAATCCACCAAACACCCAAACACCCAAATCATAGTTTAATTACACATTCAACAACCAACTCCACAACGTATACAAATACACAACCCCACAAATTAATGACACCACCACCAAACCGAATACCACACCAAACAGAATCAAACTAGTGACTACACCCACCTAAATTCCACACCCACCTAAATTCCACAAAGACCCCAACTCCCAAAACCATAAACCAGTAACCCACCAAACAAACACCACAAACACAATACAAATTTAATAAAGTATAATTAAGATCAAATAATAGCAATAAATTTAAATCATCTTTTATTTAATCATGATTCACCCACTTGTTTAACGTTTGTTCATAATAATAATCATTAATATACAAAATCACTCCAAATATCTACTAAATACCCAACTACACCACTCCACCACCCAGGTAATCTCATATCAACTACACCCCAAAACACCAAACAACACAACACAACAAATCCACCACCACACAAACCCCATCCGCAATTAAAACAAAAACAACACCATCCACATAAATTACCCAAAT